TGATCTCTTTAGCTTGGAAGTTTAGACAAAAAATATACCACTAAGCTAGCTATAAAGTAGTGAACCTAGAGATGATGTTTAAATGGGAGACATAAAGCCTCTTATATAGTGTCTAGACCTTCATTCATTCGATGACAAATGTGCCGTCTTCATTAACCTTGTATCTTGATCATACACATGTCCCATATTCACTACCTGCTACTTGTGCATCACCCGCCCTTGATATGAATATATATAGCATGTTACCTCTTTGTACCTAAGAGGTGAAGTAATTAGGCTACTTGGTGGATGTGTTGCTATCCAAGAGGTCACATGATCAAATATTACTGATTGCACTTATTTTTTTGGAACAAAAGGAAGGGCGAAGCCCCGGGAAGCAAAAAACAAAAATCAGTCTATACGGACACAAGGCATCCCAACAACATCATTATGGATAAGCAAATCCAACTTCTTGTGAGGGCAACACGGCAACAAAACCAAGTCAAGATCCATGCCACGATTCTTCGCTAGCCAATTAATAACTTGATTTTGTTCCCGCAACACGTGGTAACAACACACCTCCCAATATTGTTCGTTGGCTTCCAGAAGAATCTTGGGGACTGCAATGTAGATGAAGCTGATGCTTGGGCGGTCCTTGTTGGCGTCAAAGTTGCTTGGCAATTTGGTTACTCCAAGATCGTTATCCAAAGTGACTCGGCGAATATTGATCATTGAATCAAACCCTTATTTAACTCACCGTCCCATGTGTACAGTGTTGGGGCACCCACCTTCACTTGCCACAGTCACACCCCTGCGTGAGGAGTCCAACGGGTCCTCTCACCGATGGCAGGTCATGACCTCTTTACATGGATACTTGTTTAAAAAATGTCAAAAATGCTACGAAGCAACTGCTAGCTCCAAACATCATTCTAGCTCTATCCTTCCAACATTGTGTTCGTGTATGCTCGCAACGTGACTGAAAAATGATGTTGAAAATCAATTATTATATATAATAGTTGGATTCGTAAAAATTGTCCAACTTAAATGATTACACATAAGATGTATTTATTTTTAAAAGAATTGATCTTCCAAGAAGTATTATTGCATCCTCATCAAATGACAGTATTGGCAAATAAATGTCAGCACATGCTTAGCTTATTGGTTTAGTAGACAGTATTTGAGTCATCGTGATTTACATCCTTTCAAATTTTTTTATAGGGTTGTATTCAATCAATTGCGGGAAATAGCCCCATGCATCCAGATGAATTTGATATCCGAGGATGGGGATTCCCAAAAGAATTGAACTAACTGATGCTGAATCACAAAACTGACGGATTTGGTAGCTTAGTTAAGGGAGTTGAATTGTAACATATTGCATTCATTGTCTCCTTAATTGATCGAAACTGAAGTTTGTATATGAGTATCAAATCTTTTCCTCTTGTTGCATCGTTCCTAGGCTATATATCCTTGTTGTCCGGCTAACTAGCAAATAGCAATGGGCAATTTCTTCTTGGCAAGTTGAGAGTTAAGGACCTAATTAAGTTGAGTTCACATATAATATATATATTTTATCCTTCGGTGTGCAATATTATTTGGGTTCTCCTTTTTAATTATTGACACATGTCAAAGATGGGAACTATAACAATTCTATTTAACTCCAAGGGGGCGTTTGGTTCACGGAATCTTGGATTACCTAGGTAATCTGAGTCTGGTAATGTTATATTACATTGTTTGGTTCAAGTTATGAGATTACCAGGTAATGTTATATTACCTGAAAACTAATGTGGCGGTAATGTTTCAAGGTAATGTGATTACCCCCATTTTTTTAGGTAATCTTAAATTACCTTGAATTATTCCAACTTTGCCCTTGTTAACTAATAATAATAATAACATATATATATATATATATATATATATATATATATATATATATATATATATATATATATATATATATATATATATATATATATATTATTGAGGGCATTATTGTAAATTGATTCATATAATCTAAAATATAACCCTGAACCAAACAAGGTAATATTATATTACACAATCCAAACCAAACACACAAGGTAATCTTACATTCCCAAAATCTCACATTACATTCCAGAAGGTAATCCTATTACCTGGGGTAATCCAAGATTCCGTGAACCAAACGCCCCCCAAGGCTAGTCTTGGATTTTTATTTTTGTTACATAGAGAGAGAAAAATGTAAAAAAAAAAAAAAAACAAGTTCCGTGACATAACAATGTATTTGTCTTAATTCAGCTTACAGATCTTGATGGGAAATATTGAATTTATTTTTTTGAGAAATAGAAAAGTTCGATAAACAAATGGTAAGGGTGAAACTTATTTAGCACAAACATGAACAAGAATCCACCACATTCTCTCTGAGTTAAAACAAACAGAGTTTCTATTTTTATGATGAAATTGGATGAATCAGTCCATCAATAACACCCCACTCTCCAGAAAAGCCACAGCCACAGCCTTCAGCACTGCCACAACATTGAGTCACCTTAATCAGATTGGCAGGGATATAATCTAGTCTTAACACAAATGAACAAATTTTGTTCCCAAGTCATTGCATTGTCAAACAAGACAAGAAGCAACCCATAAACAGATGAGATTGTGGGAGGAAACAGTGTTTAAAATATTGAGTACCGGTTTATTATGCAATATACTTTTCTTCTCTTTTGTTGAGCCATGACAGAAATTGTTGAGTCGCACTTTCAGGAAAAACCATAGATTACTTAAACAATAACAGGTACAACACCTTTCTGATGATATTGTCAATAAAAATGCAGGCATAAAAAATCCATCAATTATAAAATTTGATGAACAGAGTTTGCATTGTTCTAAAACAACCTTAGATGAAAAATAAATAAATCAAATATGAATATATCCAGCAGCAAATTTAATTCAAAAAACAACACCCCTAGTTAAACAAGGAGTGGAGAAAAGTAGCATACTAATTTTATAATGCAAACCTAACCATTTCTAACCAAAAGCATGAAGTTCCACTCCATACAGCTTCAAAAGCACCATCAAGGAATGAAATCTAGGGCTTTCCCAGAATGGGTTCCAACCAAGTTGTCAACGTTTAATTGACTAGTAATAATCAAATAAACATGAAAGTGGAGGGACTCTGGCACCCGGCACCCCATACGCACACATACAAATATATTTAAATGCATGTAATCCTATCAGCCATATTTTCTGGAAACAAAATAAAAATAAAAGCTCCTAACTATTTGTCAGACCCAGAATACACTGAACATAAAACATCTTATGCATTATGTCAGTTGATCTACATTGCATACCCTCAATCAACTTCTACCTTGGAAGAAAGCACTCCCCACATCAAGTCATCAACAAGGCAGTACTTAAAACTCTTAAAAACCTAGTCTTATCACATTTTTTGCTGTATTAACAGCTGCATTCATTGGAGATATGAAAATTACCTTCTTGAAGGTAACCACAAATATTTCAAGCATAACAACATTAAAAGGCAAGGCGGAGTACAAAAGTTAAATAACAAAAAAATCATTTCGATCCAGCTACCAATTTTCAGACTCCAGTTTTACAACATGGGAAATTTTTAATACAATGCTTTGGCTAAAAACTCATCCATGAATATGGTAATTTACCATATCCACATTTTTGTAAATGAAATTTAGTTTGACATCCAAATTCTGAAAGAAGAGGTGAGAGTCCATCTCCAGAGAATTCACATGAAGTTTAGCAGAGAACTGAAGGGAGGCATTGAAGATTATGATGATTTGGATTAAGTAGAAAACTGACTTGGTTGATAGCCAACACGAGCACTCTCCTTGTAACTAGTTGAGTTAATTGATGGTTAATGAGAACAAAGTATGGAACAATGAGTCATAAATGATAGAACCCATAGGGACTTGAACTGAACAAAATTTTCAGAGAATTAAGGCACATTTACTTCATTTCTCCAGACCTCCAGTTTTCTAATTCTCTAATTTATCAAGTTTCCAAATTCATTTTTAAAACTCAAATTCGGAGAAAATCATATTATAAATTATAATTACAAATTTGACAACCTAATATTAATTACTTTAAAGATAACAAAAATTAATAAACAAATTATAATAACTAATAAATAAAATATGAATTAATGGAACTGGGGGACGTGGCAGCAACACCATAGACGGAGGCCAGAGAGGGAGGCATCGACGTCCGAGATGGAGGGTGGACGCCGGAGACAGAAGAAATAAAATTAAAAAAAAAAAAAGTAAAATTTTCATTTCTTCAAATGGGAGAACTTGTTAAGGTAGTTCTAAAAAATTTAGAAAAATGGTTTCTCTACTTTTCTATATTTTTCAAATTGAAAATATGAAAAGTAAACAGATTCGGTCATTTATCAAGTTTCCTAAAAAAAAGGCCATTTATCTAATTAGTAAACACACTCAACTTTGGTGTTTGGTTAGAAGGAAGGGATTAGAGGGAAAAGAATTGTAATTCCGTGAGAAAGGGATTAGAGGGAAAAGAATTGTAATTCCGTGAGAAAAGAATAAGTTGAGAATTAAAATTTCACGGAATTACAATTCTTTCCCCCCCTAATCCCTTCCTTCTAACCAAACAATTGCCAACAATTCCAAACAATTCTATTCCTGCCTACCAAATCGAGTAGGTTTACTTTTAAGGTTTCAATTCCTTAAAACCTTAAACTAATTCCAGTCGAGTACTCGAGTAAGCGTGACACTTAGATCAAAGAAATACCTAACAAAAGAACGGAAATATGGCATATTACGCAAATAGTTACACAAATTCCAAACAAAGCTTAAATTTTGTACACCATACATTTCAAATGATTCGTAATTAATGAAATAGAGAAGAAAACTATCCAAGGCAAATGGTGAATTGGGGATAAATGATACATACCAAAATGTTTTTTATTAAACCCTAGAAATAAATTCAGCAAACCAAGAAATTAGGTTTTCCAAACATTCCCAAAATCATACAGAAATTAAATATCAGAGGGGACTGACCCATTGATTGATTGATCGAACGATCGGACACTAGGCATTGGCAGTCTTGGGGGCTAGGGGAATGGACTGCTGGCCGCCACTGTGTTTGATGTGGGCTGCCTCCTGCTGGCGGATCTTCTGCATCTGGAGCATCCGCTCCATAACAAGCTCGTATTCGCACTTCTCGTAGGAGTGGCGCTCGTTCTCGCACTTCCATGGCAGGTACATCTCGGCCTGGCGGCACTTGTTGAGAGGGATCAGCAGGTGGGCGCATTGGTCCCTGTATCCAAGTGGCACCTTCGCCTCAACCATCTCTGCTTGCGTAGCTATCATCTTCTTCGACGACCCTGGCACCTCCATCTCTCCTCTCTCTCTCTCTCTCTCTCTCTCTCTCTCTCTCGATCGATCGATTACGCTACTATTCAGAGTCTCCCTAGTCCAGGCAATAACGAACCTGAAAAGTTCAGGTTGATTTAAAATTATATATTGGGCCTCTTGTCCCCGAGCGGAGTGATAAAGTCCCATTCTACTGCCGAGCCCAACCCACTACATTTCGCAAATTATGCTGTGCAACCGAATGCATCATGCACATGGTGCATTCGATGCAAAACGACGTTGTTTTGGTTAAAAAAATGCGCGTCCCACTTAAAGAAGAAATCAGGTTCGATTCCTGGCAATAGCATTTTTATATATCCATAAATTCATAATTATATATCCACAAATTCATAACTATATATCCACAGTGAATGAACTAAATATCCACAATGAATGAATAAAGTAAATATCTACAATGAATGAACTAAATATCCACAATGAATGAATTAAATATCCAAAAATTCATAACTATATATCCAGAAATTCATAACTATATATCCACAGTGAATGAATGAAGTAAATATCTAAAATGAATGAATTAAATATCCACAATGAATGAACTAAATATCCATAAATTCATAACTATATATCCACAAATTCATAACTATATATCCAGAAATTCATAACTATATATCCACAATAATGCTATTGCCAAGAATCGAACCTGATTTTTTTTTTTTTTTAAGTGGGACGCGCGTTTTTAGTCAAAACGACGTCGTTTTGCATCGTATGCACCATGCGCATGGTGCATTCGGTTGCACAGCATAACTATTGACTACATTTTTGGCCTCTTTGTCACAAATGATTTTGTGGACCCGAATTCAAATATTCACAATTTATATGCTAAATATTCACAATTTATCTTTTAAAAATTTACAATTTGGATACTACAAACACACAATTTTAACATATAGGGGTTATCTTGTTTTGTATTCACAAGTTCCTTTCAAATACTGCAGTTACAAAATATTAACACATTAAAATTTGATGACCATAGGAAATAGCAACTTTAGGCTATTCCTGAGAACTCAGGAATAGCCTAATACCAGGGGGGCCTAGGAATAGGTCATTCCCAGGAACAATGAATAAATATTTTTACCAAACAAAGAAATAGGTCTATTATTAGGAATGCTATTCCATTCCAGGCCTATTCCACGAACCAAACGTGCCATCATTGTTTAAGATAATCAAATTGTAGTTTCAAGACTTATTTGTTAAAATGTTAAATTTTTACTCATAATTTAAATTTTTTTGAAATATTAATCTAGTTTTATTAAACTCTTGTAAAATTTAATTAACTGATTATATAATATATTTGATCATTTATATTTTTTTCAAAATTTATTTTATAATAATAATTAATATAATTTGCGTGCAATATTTTAACAATATACTCAATTTCGAAAAGAATATCATTCTTTATTACATTACATATAATAACAATAGCATACATCATTCAAGTCGAATCAACTTTTATATAAAAATAATCCTACATTTTTTTTTTACTCCATTACATATCAGGCTCAATTGATTAAAAAAAAGGAAGAGGGGTGCATCACAACTTTTATTTAATCTTTTCCTCCACCTAAAAAAATTCGTGATAAGAATTATACTCCAATATATCTTTCATATCATTTTCCTTTATATAACTATAAAAATTGACTATATTGTACTAACATTTCCACCGTTGGCATTAAACTATCAATTTTAAAATATTTGGCTATAAAATGATAGGTTTTGTTGTGATTGTTTCCTTCTATCCCATAACTTTCCTCAGTGAAACGGACTACAATATGACAAACGAGAGAGACGAATAGCAAGAAAGAAACAAGACAAAGTGTATATAAAAATATTATAGTTGTTGACATAATTGCCTATATAAGGTTGATTTAACTACTATGTAATGGAACATAATTACATATATACACAAATAGCCACCTATAAGCACATTCTATCCAGCAGGAATATCAGAATCCAAATTCTTTCGGCTTTCAAGGGTGCCTTCATCCCATACCTCAAGACACCTATCACATAAAGATTACTTAACACCATCAGAGAGAATTGAAATCCAGACAACTCAGAAGAAATACATATCTAGAATTCAGTGCCATAGAGGGATAAGTTCATCATATATAGGACAATATGATCCTTATATTTCATAAATTTCAATGGAAATAAATGAGTTTTTGTTTCCCCTTGATAATGTTTTGTTTCAGACTCCTTCCAAATTCTGAAATTTTGATTTTTCATTTATACATAATTTAAGGGAGAAGCATTAACCAAAGGCCAAAACTACAGGAAAACAACAAAATTGATGCCATGCAAAGCACTATATGGTCTGTGTTGCATCAGAATTCTTTCACCATTCAAAAAACAAAAAACATATAAATGGCTGAAACAGAGGTAAATTAACTGGGCAAAATCCTGGCATAACACTAGTGGTTAGAGTAACATAAAATATACCTTGTCCCGTCAATGTTTATGTGAAGAAATTGGCCATGCCGCCATCCGTCTTTGAAGTGGCCAAATGAAATATCACCATGCTTGTAATAAAAACGCCCTTCTCCATTTGCCTTTCCCTTCCAGAAGTTCACAAACCAGCGATCCCCAGTATGAAAGTAAAACCAACCCTACATGGTTACACCAATATAACTAGCTCAAGAGTGTGCCTGAGTTTAAATTCCCCATGTGTGTGTGGGGTGGGAGGGGAGGGTTAACATAGGTGGTTGAATAAAAGCTTTGGTAGCACAGGAGAGAACACAGACTACTCACAGTAACTATGTAAAATTAGCATATAACAAAAGCATTGGTACCTTGCCATGCATCACATCATCCCTCCACAAACCACGGTAGATATCACCATTACTAAAGTAGAATGTGCCAAGGCCGGACCTCTTTCCATAGCGCCACATGCCATCATAAACACTTCCATCTCTGAGAGACAGATGGCCCTATACAAGTAGCCTTTTAAACAAATACTCCATATAAAATTCAAGAAAACCCAAGAATCCATTTCAGCTATACTGAAGTACCTTTCCTTCAGGAAGTCCACCTTGGATGCGACCTCGGTATATGCCTCCCCTATACTTCATTTCAACCACAGGAACCCACTTATTTTGTGAAGTTCGTTCAGATTCCTGTATAAGACCACATGATTTCCACATTGTAACCAAGAAAAGTTTTACACTGTAAATACCCATTTCACTCGGGAATATTATAAATTCTGCCACAGAATGCATTCCAAAGTAATATCTCACAACAGCTCATAAACTACAAGAAAACATCTAAATTGAAAGAAAAATGACAGGGTCCAAATAAAAGCTGCCTAGTTTGAACCAATCTATTAAAATAAACAGTTACTTGATATAACATTGTTTATAGACTTCTATGTTTAGTTTTGTCTTTCTTATATGCATTAATCTATTAAGTTGCCAAGTTTGATGTTAAATTAAAAATTACTCCACATACTATAATTGTCCAAAGTCAATGAAAACTAATATCACATACAAATAGAATTCATCCCTTATATTTTACATATTTTCTCTTGAACCATGATGCCCAACACCAGATGCAGACATGCAGTACTCCATAAAGGATTGATTAAACAAAATAACATTAAGGACAAGTGTGCATTTCTCCTTAAAATTGTTTGTTTATAGAAGACATGAAATTCAGATTTGCATATATTAGTAAATCCTTTGAATAAAATCTATTTACCAGCATAGAGGCTGCACGAATTGAAAGAACTCCTTTCTTCTTTGAAAAATTGCTCTGATCTGCTTGTGTTACTCTGGAAGCATGGTTGTCCATTTCCAACTTAGCCTCACTGTCACCATTCATTCTATCCCAAGACACAACTTTAGTATCCTGAGTTTGTGCCCTTTTAATTTCTTCAGTCATCCATTCTGCCCAATTCCAAGAGTTTGAGGTAGTTGAACCATTTTTTGATTGCTCTAATTGTTTTACACCAACAGGAAGTTTGAATGTGCTGACATTGTCAGCTAAGTAGGTTTCCATGTCATTAGTGCCTTCTTTGCCCCAGTCTTGGGGGATTTGAAATCCAGGGTGCAGGTTTTGCCTCGTAAGTAGCTCTCTTCTGAAAGTTGGAACTCCTGCACAATGGAATTGTAATTAGGATGTCTGCTATGCTAATTACCGAGGTTATTGCTCTGATTTTGTAGGATTATGCAACTACATCCATGTTAAACAAAACATTATTGTTGTTGTTTCTGTTGCTATTATTATTGTTATTACAATTATTACTGACTACGAGGTGGGGTGAGGTGTTATCACTTTTCAACTATTCCCATTGTTTAAAGCTTTCTGGAAATTGGGCACCAAGTCCAAGGTAGCAAAGCTCATCCCTGTGTTATGGCCATGCCCTTCTGAAAACCCTTAAGCCTCTATTACATTCTAAATGCATCTGCACTATCTCCTGAACAATCCATCTACAATCACACACACTACATCTCACAACAACTCCCACCCCTCTATCATATTCCTTACCCAACTTGCATTTACACTGTTCTTCCTTTCCAAACTTACCTCTTTGGCCCTCTATCTGCATCAATTGATTACCAAGTAATAAGCCACATGCAGATTGCACATATTTTTATATATTTATGTGTGTGTATGTGTCATGGAGAGAGAAAGATACAGCAGCAACAGATGGTTTTTTTTCTTGTTATCAACTGAGAACTATTTGTGGGGGGTGCAGTGGGGAGAAATTATGATCTAGCAATAGATGATGGGAATACTCTTGAGGCTCCAGATTTATACCGGATTCATTTACTTTTCCTTTCCTAGTCAACAGCAGTTGTATGGTTGGTCACACTGTGATCATATTAATTATAGTGTTGTAAGTAAAAATGGTGGTTTGTGCTTCCTATTTCTTTAAATATACTGCTCTTAATAATTTCTTAGTTTTTCTATTCATTTTCAGTACTAGTTTTCAAGGGCAGCATTGTAATTTCAAGAGAAATCATTTAGACAAATAATGGCTTACTAATTTTATCCAATAATTGATCAGAGAGGTGATCATTATATCATTTATATGGATGGGTAGGGATGGGGAATGACTATTATTATAATTCAAGGGTGAAGAGACATTTGAAAGAGGTGAGGAAGAATGAATGTATTACATCATATCATCATTCAAAACTAACAACTACAGAATTAAAGAATTCTACCTTCAACATCGACTGCATCATTAAAAGAAAAGCCAGCCTCTGAGATTTCAGTTTTGCTTTGTTCAGGACCAACTTCACAGCCCCTAGAATGTACAAAATAAGAAAGTAATATCTATTAGAATAATAGAATTCCCAGGAAATATGAAATGGTCTCTATAAAAAGATGCCATCAAATCCCAAAAGTGAATACATTGGATCGAAAGAGTATTACTTTGAAAGAAGTGTTTCTCCACCAGTGTTAAATATTTCTTGCAGTTGCTCATCATACAATGATGCATCTTCAGCCTCAGAATCCATGGGCCTTGTACCATCCACAGAAAGCATATCCAACATTTCATCAGTACACTGCAAATTTGAGGCATCTGAAATTTGTGGATTCCCCAATGAATATCTTTCCTTGGTGTGGGAATAAAGAGGAGAATCTGGCTTCTTAAGGATATTAAAAATGAAAGGGAAATGGTGGGCCAGTCTAGAGAGCAAGCTATTCCTCTGTGATGGTTGCTGTTCAATACACCTGATCATAAATACTTTAACATCAAAATCTAAAAAAGGAAATGTTTGAAATAGGCATATCTTTAGGTCAAACTGTATACAACTTGTCACAAACTTCAGTCATAACATACCAATTTAGCAAATAACCATTAAGAAAAAGCAAGAGAAATAATGCAATGATTTATCCCATCAAAAGCAACTTAAACAGCAGCAGACTACAGATACTCTTTCAGCTATTAACTCAAATAGAACTGGAGTAAGAAAAAAACAGTAGCTACTTTTAAATTATAGAAAATTATAGAAACTTAGGAATCCCTGGTAAAAGCATAGTCATCTGATGTTTGCTAAAAGCATTACATGCAGGGGAAGTCCCAATCTGACTATGCCAAAAAAAAAAAGAAAAAGAAAAAAAAGAGTGGTTATGTTAATTAGCAACTTTTTTACAATACATACAGAAAGGTTCTTATCACCACCTCTGTGTGTGAGCATATATGTTGAATAGTAGGGAGTCAAAGTTAGGTAATTTATTTTAAGAAAAAATGTTAGGAATAATGGAGAGATTGAGGGTGATTTTCTAATTTTTTAAGGAAAGAATTAAGATAATTAGTTCTTTCCTTTATTAGAGTAGGTTGTATATATGCTGCTGTAATCTCCATGGTTTATGTAAGAATTTCAGAATTTCTTCTTATCTTCACCTTTATCACTTTATGTTGCTTAGGGCAGTGTATTTACTTCATTTTCATCAACAAACCAACAGGTTTTGGAGAATACTCAGTTTCTAAACATTAGCGCATGGAGAGGTATTAGCAAACTCAAAAGCAGTACAAGTGTACAACTATTTTGAATTCTAGGAATGTAGCATCTTCTCAAGTTAAATCTTACCCACACATAATTATAGTAGTCAGTATTAAATTTGCCTCCACATTGGGTTCATAAACAATTGATATTACAATATCTCCCTTCCATCCTGTTGTTTGTCGAAAAGTATGACAAATTGTATGCACATTGCTGGAATCAAGTGCATTGGAGCTTGCAATAACGCATAAAATTACACCATCTAATTCCTAAGAAAAATTGGCAAAGATAGAAGTCAGAGAACATTAGATTATAAGATTGCAAGAATCATAGCATCGTGAAGACGGAAGGATATAATCAATAGCAATCAAACCTGTTATGAACTAGAAAACAAATTTGAGTTGAAAATCATTTACTATCATGATTGTAATTGCAGAAAACAAAAGAATATTTAATATTTTATTCTATTCTATATAATTTTTATACTTTTCCCCTATACAGGTGTTAATTTAATTTTCTCAGTTGTTAAGAGTCCCACATTTTTTTGATAAAATAAGAGAGAATATATGGGTTTATAAGGTCATGGGTTAAACTAGCTAATTGGTTGGATTCAATCTTTTAGAGTGGTTTGTTCATTTGCATTATATCCCAATTGAGTGACCCTAGCCCAATTTTAGTTTCTAACATGGTATTAAAGTCTGTTCGATCCACTTTGTGTTCACCCGGTTATGGGTATTGGTGGAGCTTATCTTCTAATGTGGTTTGACCCATGTGCATTATAGTCCAATTGAATGACCATAGCCCAATCTTAGTTTCTAACAACGGGAAAGAAAAACACACACACAAAAAAACAAAAAAAATAAAAACAAAACAAAACAGATGTCGTCTGCATTAGAATATCTATCAAAACCTTTACAGACACCCCAAGGAAGGGGCAATCATATGTAGCTCGCAAAATGGAAGTTTTAATGTTGTAGCCAGCTCCATATCCAATTTTAGCTTCTCTATAGATCTCAAGAATCTGTAACAGATGCATTAGTGATTAGCTCATCAGGAAAATAACCTCACAAATGAAAAAATTGGACTGGGTTTAGAAAGTTTGACCTTTTTTAATGAAAAAAAGGCATAAAGTTGCTATATAAATATTCAAATAAAAAATTTATTTTAACACAGAAAAGATATGGCAGAGAAAAGTAAAATAAGATGGTAAAAGATTTACATTTTTTAGCTGCGGAACTTCGAGCAATTCACAACAATTACTTGGTAAATCACGAAACTTTATGTAGTTCTCCTGTCAGAATATTACACGTTAAGAAATGGATAGATAAATGAATAACTTCATAGGTCTAATGTTTTGCAAAAGAAACAAGCACTTGAGGACCAGGGAAAGGTGTAGATTAGCTTACAGATACAAGAACAGATATGGCATTTGTAGCCATCAAAACTGCATTGTATGAAGTCTTCAAAGCCTCATCCAGAGTAAGTAGATCTTTTGCCAGAAGTGCATCAGTATCAATAACTGCAACCCAAAACCACACATTAACAACAAAAAGATTTATAATGTCTTTTACCACATCGAGTATAGACTGTTCTGGAATTTTTACTTCTGAAGTTTCATCTCTACAGAAATAAATCTACTAAAATGTTTTAGGCAATGGCAATTCCAATCCCTTTATAGTTTCTCATAATCCTGATGTACAAATACTGTAAGCTTATCTCAATGACCACACACGCAATAGTTTACAATTATTTAACTTTGTTAAGAGTCTGACATTGAAAAATAAGAGAGAAACATATGGATTTATAAAGCCATGGTTAAACTAGCTAATTCATTAGATTCAGTCTTTTAGTGTGGTTTGATCCATGTGCATTATAGCCCAGTTGAGTGGCATTGGCCTAATCTTAGATTTTAACATGGTATCAGAGCTTGTTCAGTCCACTTTGTGTTCACTCGGTTGTCTACCCATGGTATTGGTGGAGTCCAAGCTTCCGTTTCAGTTCACCCGGTGAGGGAAAGTGTTAAGAGTCCCACATTGAAAAATAAGAGAGAAACATATGGGTTTATAAGGCCATGGTTATACCAACTTATCGATTGGATTCAGTCATTTAGTGTGATTTGGCCCATGTGCATTATAGCCCAGTTGAGTGGGCTTGACCCAATCTTAGATTCTAACAAACTTCAATACCAATATTTTCCTTGACCTTTGGCGCCACTTCCATTAATTCAGTATTTTAGACTATGGTTTTGAAGGATTAAAATCTTAATCTAAGTAGTAGGTATTTGCATTTCCTAGCGCTATGCCACTATATCACAACCCAACTGTGTATGATTCACTCATTTACAGAGAAACAGAAAGGGTTGAATACACAATGTCAATTTGAATTATAATCTGATATTAGATTCAAGAAAACATCTGAAAATATTCTTTAATATAGAGTTCAAAAAGTAGGTACCAAAAATATCAACTGTAAGCTATAATGCTGTTTTGGATGCATTGAGCAAGAAGGGTAGATTGAGGTCCATGATCTGCTATTGAATATGAAGAATAAGGGGCTTCTTCCAAAATAAAAATACTCACTTCATTTTGGTGACTGGGTATTGTAGAATTGCATGGTTGATGGATGATGCTCAGGTTATTGAGCTGATGACACAGAACAATACACAACCTGATGTGTGTCAATGGTGGCAGAAACCCGGTAAATTGAAGAGGAAGAAGAAAAAATTCGTGTTGATTTTAGAGGAAAAGAGATTGTGTCAATTTACTTTTTTTACCCATTTCAATTTAGGGTTTTTGTAGCAGCAATTTAGAGATAACAGTTCCTGCTAGCCCGTGGACTAAAAGCACAAAATCATGAGAAATTCAAGGGTGAATTATGCACACATCAAAAGCTTGTGGATCAAAATAACTATATGGCCAAAAGACAAGTACTAAATTGCTATTTGCCATAAATTAAATAACTTAAAAAGTAGAATTGATGAGTATAATTCAGTAATTAGTCTACCAAATAACCATTATGCATCAAAATTGGATCTGAATATCAAGTTCATGGTATAGCTGGCAAGCTGTTACCTATACAAAAATTAGCTTGCTTTTGAAGCTCATCAACCAATTCATTCACCTGCAGGCAGGACCAGTTTTCAAAATAAATTAGTAATATCTACTATGCCTTCAAGGTTGCAATAGGAGATACACAGATAAATAAGTTTGATACCCATCCTTTTCTTTAAAAATATTTTTTTGAATGAACTTACTGGATTGACTGCCACCCCATCTCTCTAACAAGTAACAAGTCAACAAGAACAAAAAGAAATGATAATATTAAAAGAACACAATGATTTGATGAGTTTATTAATCTCTAAACTCTTCATTATAGATGGACTGCTTGACCAAGAAGTAACATCAATTTCAGAAACCACTTAAAGTGCACACATACAAATAACCAAGTCAGCAAAAATCTTCACACATGCAAAAAAGACTATAGGAGAAAAGGAAGCTCCAATATGTTATGAAAAATATAGGTGTAAGTGTGTAATTTAAATTGTTGAACAGCAAAAAATCTTTTGAGATTGCATCAAATTTCAACTTGCAAGCTACCAATCCTACCATTAAAAACACTGATGAGACTATGAGAGAGTCTAAATTGTGCATGCTATCAACCAGAGCTACTTAAAGCAAGATGCATTAAGGTCATCTCTCAATTATCAAAAATTGGCTGCCTTATCCCATTCAGTGAGTTTTCTTGTTCCTTAAACTGTTATTCACACATATCAACTTCAGCTTCAAATTATTGGGTTAAAAAGAAATACTGCAGTATCCAATTAGTTAAAAATTGAAACAACCACAAGTACACCCAGTTAGCTTTATTGGGTGAAAATTATAAATGCAGGGTGTTTGTCCAGTTAGTCTAATTCATTGCAGATACAATAATGTTCCATTGTTGATGGGGAGGAAATACATCCAATGAAGGTAGTGCCAAAATCAGTCTTATTGCACATACGAGAGTGTTCCTTGTTTACATGGATGAAATATATCCAATAAAGAACACTCCGATAATTTACAGAAAACCAACCCACTAACATGGAAAATCTGTAAAGAAATTTCACTTCATGCTTTAGATGGAACATCCCTTTTGATAAAATTTGAAGTATGATAAATCTTCACAAGGACTGTAAAAGAAAAAAGAAAGTCATCTGGAATTAGGTTTACTCCTATTGTGCTTCCTAAGTAAGTGCCGCATATATGTTCATTGGACGTACCTATCACAAGATCTGTTTGGTACCTAGTGGGCAGTGGCAGTCACCACAGTTAAGTTGTTTGTTTTTTAATAAAAAAAAAAAAAAAAAAAAAAAAAAAAAAAGCCATGCATTTAGGTTACCTAGAAGATACCCTTTATGGCTCACCAAACTTCTTGTTCATATGTGGAGACAATGTAAAATGAACAATCCATTTCTTAAAATTTGTATATTCTCTTTCTTATTTGTTCAAAAACCTCAACATTTCTTTTCAAGTAAAGAATTATTCCATAATTATTTAATTAATAGATGTACTATACCTCATCCTGGCGCCTTCGTCCTTCAAAGCTGAAAGGTTTCAAAATTATTCCAATGACTAGCCCATCAGCAGATCTTACTCTTGTAAGAATATCAAGGGATGGGATTATATCTTCACCATAAGCTGCACTAGCCACCTAGAAATGAAAGAATTTTTTTTTAAACAAAAAAAAGGAATATATACATAAATACAACATGCATATACATATAGGTTAATGTTCCGGTGAGACCACCTCTTCCTGTGAGACCATGAGACCCTACTTTGTGTGCATTCATGAGGATCTCACGGCTCACGGGAAGAGGTGGTCTCATTTGATCATTACTCTATATATATATATATATATATATATATATTTCAAAATTCAGATGAGACTTAAACATACCACCCATTAAAGAAGCACAAATATAATTTTCTTTTTTAGAATCTTTACAAAAATGGGTACAAAATTTCAAGTTCATTATGATATATGAAACCAATAGAGAAGGGAATTAAGGCTGTTATTATATGGGCCTTCCAAGTATATCTTGAACAATAGCATAAGCTGAAGAAAATCATTAAATTGTGTTAAGATTGCATCATAAACAAAATCCTTTGAACGTTGTTTGTGTGATGTCAAATAAGATGCGTTAACATAATGAAATCCTTTCACAAGTACTTGCCATTACACACATTATGTAAAGCTTGATTCATAAATCCATAAAACTTATCCGCAATTTCCCTTTCATCACAGGCTCATACACCAGGAACTACACTTTCCTAAAGCAAGTTCCACAACGGAAGTCCAGAGTGATGGATGAAGAGACTTCCAAATAATCTTTGCTTAAAACCATGATTGTGATCTCCCTTTTTGGTTTATATTACTATATATCTTTACAAAGTAATCAGTGGTTCCAGCCCAGGAGTTGTCAGGGAAAAAGACAACTGAAATAATGTATTGAGGGAGACTTCAGCTCGGGCATTCACCCGAAAATTATACAGGAACCCACCTGCCTCTCCATTGTGATGGCACCACAGAACTAGATATTAGCACCATTTACTTTTCAAATTGTTTCACTTAGGTTCAAGTGAGCTAGTGTTATATATATATATATATATATATATATATATATATATATATATATATATATATATATATATAATTTTAAGCCAGTAAGAGAGAGAGAGAGAGAGAGAGGAAAAAAAAAACACTAAATTTACAGGCATCAGAGATAATGATTGTACAAACAAGTATAATTGCTTTAGAACACGAACTCAATGATAATGGCACTTCCACAACTCTTGCTGAAATATCTGCAAAAGAGGAAACATGGGTTTTAGGTACTTAATAGATAAGGGGACCAGGAGGAGCATGTTGGAGAAGATAACTATAAGAATACGACAAAGAAAGAGATGAAGTCAAATGCAAGCAATTAAATATTCTTATAGAAGAGTGCCAGTTCCAAAGGCACAGAGTGCAACATCTAAAAGCTTATACATTATTGTCTTTGAGAGGTTGTAACAAAGGTTAGATTTTACACAAATCCTGTTCAAGGGAGTCAAAAGAAGACAAACACATGTCCGCATAATTAAATCCTTTGGATTTATTTTGGAAACTTTTCCTTTGATAAATCCTTTTTGTAACTGAATTGAGTGAGTAGAGCTATTGTAATTGCCAATTGGTCGTCAAGGAGTAGACCTTTGCCATTAACCAATTAGAACTTATCAATAGTTGCCATAAGGACATAATTCAGAAGTTTAAAAAAATCATACTAGAAGCAAAGCATGTAAAATTTGGTTCTAATTGATGCCCAGCATTCCAGAGATACGTTAAACTAATAAAGAGTCTAAAGTAAGGTAATTTGATGCCAAAAACCAAACAAGACAATGAAAATAATTAAGTAATGTGAAAGCCACAGAAGTCACCAAGTATTCAAATTTAATTTTTTGTTAGGCCTTTCTCAAAAATGTGGCAAGGCTAGAGTTGCAGATTTTAAAATCAATATCTACATAAACAAGCTTCTTCTAAATCAAATTAACTATTTATAAAATAAAAGTAAAAATAAAAAACACACACACTTGAAAGTTGAAGCATGCATCTGCTCTTCAATAGGTTTGCATGATGCTTGCTAAACAATTCTACCAAAAGATTTTGAACCAACTTAACAAAGCTTAACAATGAACACTCTTATCTTGTTTGTTTAAAATACTAAAATGCGAATAGCTCCACAAATAAATATTTAAACTGTAGATATATGATATATCAGCCACATCTACCTACAGCTTGATTTAAGCAATCAACAACATTTTAGTTTCCAAAGAACCATCTTGAGGAGTCAAACTATATCTGTTATTCCCTCTATTGGATTAGGAGCACAGGTTTCTCGTAGCATTTTATAAACTTGAGATTTGGAATCTGTTTAACTCAAAGGTAAACCTTGGCAAGATGTCATCAAGTACATCAAACAAATAAAAGCTCCAAAGCTCCAAAGCCCCCACTTTGCTGAAAATCTACTAATGCAACGTACAAGAAATTTTACTACTCTGTTCTACGAAGAGCTACAGTAAGATCTAATAAAGTGAACTTATTCAGTTAAAATATGATATCTTTTGTTCCAAAATCTTCCAGGGCCAGGAAATTTGGAAAAATCTGATGCCCGCCTCCCAGTACAAAATTTCTCCTTTGCCCTTTCTTTAGGTTGGGTTCAAGGAGTTGAAGATAAATAGAAAATGGTGTATATCCTATGATTCTTATCAGCTAAAGCTGTTAGTTGAAGGGGAACAAATAATTCAATATGGTACCAGTGTGGGCAAAATAAAACATCCCGGGTTCCAATCCCACTCAGCACACATTATCATTTATCCAAATACCTTCATGTATTTCTCCCATCAAAAAGACAACATATCTAGCCTATTAACAAGTTTATTATCTATTGTCTTGTTACCTCACAAAGAAACTACCCCAGGATGGAGGGCGGCCCCTCTTCACCTATTATGGTTCATAGGCTCAGACACCGTTTTGAAGGTCAACACTCAACTGTAGATAAACTCAAGGTTCCATTTTTGCATAACTCTTCTTTTGGACTCAAGGAAACTGCTTTAAATTCTCTTTGCTTCAATGATTTTTGGGGCAGGTTTAAACTTTATTACTTATCAGAGTTCTGTTTGTCATTTTTGTTGTAAATCCATGGTAACCCTAGATGGCTGTATGCAATCTCTTTACAACATACAAGAGAAAATTGCACTTTTGGTCCTGTGATTATTGTTGTCTTGTTAATTTGGGTATTTGACTTTAAAAACTATCAATTTAGTCCCGTAACTATGCAATTTTTAACACATTTGGTCCTCCGGCCAAATCGCCGGCCAAATGTTGCCGGAAAAACGTAATTCCTTTAAAATTGTTTATTCATAGGGGCAAAATGGTAATTTCAAGTCAATTTCTTCTTCTTCCCTGTTGGCCGGAATGCAGCGAGACGCAACTATTGGCCGAAATTGGCGAGAATTTCCTCATTCGGAGCTTTGAGTATTGCGGCAAAACTGTTGCATATTCAAATACGCGGACATCAAACCATGTGGAGGGAAGTGGGTAATGTTCCACTTATGAAATAATGATATAGACACTGTAAAACCCACGCTGCTATGTTGATGTGCTGCCACCTTGTGTTGCAAAATTCAATACACTTCAAAAAGACAAAACTTCACTACAAATCAAGCCTATAAATTGTAGGGAAATTAATTGTTGAAGTATCATTGCTTCTTCAATTATATATGTCGACAAAAGCTGGAGTGCGTAGAGGTCTGCTGAAGCTCAGGCCCAAACAGAGGAGATCAGAGACGAGTTTCCACCAACATTCTTAGACCCACCATGCATTCTCGCACAAGAAAGGATGCTAGCAAGAAGAAAGAAGAATACAAGGAAGAAAGATTCAAGAAGAAGAAGAAGGACAGAAGAGATTGAAGCAGACTGTGATTCAGGAATCCGTCGTGTTCGTAAGCCAAGGGAGCCTACTGGAGAATCAAGTGAGAGAGATCGCCGGGGAACCAGCTTTCCCCTTTTTTTGTTAACTTAAAATGACCATTTTGTCCCCATGAATAAACAATTTTAAAGGAATTATGTTTTTCCGGTAACATTTGGCCGGCAATTTGGCCGAGAGGACCAAATGTGTTAAAAATTGTATAGTTACGGGACTAAATTGATAGTTTTTAAAGTCAAATACTCAAATTAACAAGACCACAATAGTCACAGGACCAAAAGTGTAATTTTCTCCAACATACAATAATACAATAATATATAATATATAAACAAAATAAAAGAAGAAACTAGCTCATTTATAATGCTTGTGTCATTTTTCAGTTTGGCTCTCCCCTGGGGTGAAACAAGGAATGCATATGGAAAAGGATTCATAACTCTGGACTAGTAGCATTAATAGGAAGGTAAAACAGCCATTTGAAATTTATTTTTTCACTATTATTGCCAAGCAATCTTGTCCTGCCATTATATTGGCAATAATCCAGCAAATCCTTTGCTGAATAACCAACCACTACTAAATGCATGGTGACTTGAAATAATTCATACTTCCTATTCACATTTCCTACTTAAGACGTTCTATAGTATAAGGGTGTCCATCAACTTACAGCTTATAAATAATTGTCTGCCATATTCAAGCAGTTGTCTTCTCCTCAAAGTGGCTAACAGATTTCCTTTGGCATGTTAACCCCCGTCCCCAAACTCACAAATATATATATATCTAAAAACATAATAAGTGTCAATACAAGTTATGTCCTTGATTTTTGTCCTTTTTTTATATGCTAATAAATATATACATTTTGCTTTAATTGTTGTACATTCATTTGCATTGGACAAAATCACCCTTACACCGTTATAACACCGTTAGTTTTTAATATATCTACCAATCTTACCATACACCTACATCTATCATATCTTTTTCCTATTTTTAATTATCATTTTATTAAAATTATCATATAACTTGTTTTCAAAAAAAAAAAAAATTATCATATAACAATTAATTTAATTATAAATTATATTTTAATTAAATATTTATATGAATGTTAAATTATATATGTGTATCATATATATATATATATATATATATATATATATATATATATATATATATATATGTATGTATATTATTTGTGTATCCATATCAATATATCATATATGTGGGTGTTAGCTTAGTATTATTTGTAAATTATTATTATATAAAAATATAATTTATTTTTATTGATCACTATATTATTCAAATATATGATAATTCAAAAGTATCATCACTTTAAGAAATTGCAAAACATAATTTTAACTAATTTTTTAAATTTTGTTACATACAAATATTTTAATATTAGGCATAAGTTTTCGCGCATCGAGCGTACAAAATGCTAGTATATATATATATATATATATATATATATATATATATATATATAAAAATCAAGGAGAGCATCAAGGTTCCAACTTTCAAGCCTTTACCTTCTGTCAGAAACCTCTGTTGCAATAACACCTTCCCTGAATCTTTGACAAGAATATTCCTGCAAGGGCACCAGCAGAACATATAACTTTTTTACATCTGTAATCAGGTGCATTTTAAAAGAGAATAACATATACAAACAAATTGGGACTGTTGATCACAGATGAGAAGCTTGTAATTTGTCCAATAAGCAGAATGAAAATAAGGTACAAAATGTACTAGAGAAATTCATGGCATTTAAAATTAACTTAATAGAGATGCAGATAAATTTTAAAATCAAAATATGACAACTTACTAATTCAAGTTCAAAAGGGAAGTCCAAACATTCATACATGTTACCAAGCAATTCAATGATAGGGTGCCATTCAAGCAAATGAGAGTATGTTATTTTTATGCTATGTATATAAGCTAAAAAGAAATATATAGATACATCAGAGATATCATGAGCTCGGATTCACAAAAAATGGTGGGCCTCTGGACGAATGTTCAACTCAAAATGTGATGAATATTCATATTTATTGCTAGAAATTAGAATGGTTTGTCAATTGTCATTGAAGTAAACGATCATTAAATTGTCCATTGCCTCTGAAGTGAATACAGACCACCAGGTCATGGTATACCAATAATACGTAACAATATGCTGCCCATAGATGTACAACGTCTAAACGTTCACATTAAAAACCCATATGTAAGACTAAGAGGAAAACACAGGAAAGTGTAAATTGTAGCATACCAAATTCTCAAAGCCGGGAAACGAGAAGAAGAAGCCAAACAGAAGTCTAGAATGGCGTCTTTCCGACTGCCAATTCCAATCACCTCCACGAAATCCGTCTCTTCCCAAACATTCCGATGAAACAATCCCTCCCCTTCTTCTCCCTTGAGCAAAGAAGAGCCTTTGCAATTACTGTTAACAGAACTCACAACGCTTTTGTCGGAATCGCCGCTCTTATGACTGACATCGGAACTCAGCTCAGCTCGAACAGGAGCGGTATTGCGCCTCAGCCTTGTCCGACGATTATCGTTGTTGGGTGAGCGGAAATTGACGAGGCCGATTCTAAAGGGGATGCGTGAAATTGAGTGGAGCCTTGTTGAAATGGGAACGGGGAGCTCCATCACCTCGGAAGAATCAGAAAGGCTGAGTTCGAACGAAACCTCTGACTGCCAATTGTGTCGATAGAAGAATTTCAAAGCATGGTCGGAAAAAATATCTGCACTAGTCTTGTGGCCTTCTTCCGAGTGGGAGCTATTTCTGCAAATTATGCACAGTTGCAAACTAGGGCGAATTATTCTTCCAAAACCCCTACCCTCCCCACACCTCGACCCGAACATATGGGAAAATGTAAATTATGATAATTCAATTGAATATGAACCACAAATGCTAGACATGTGCACACTGCGCACAAAAAATTCCTCTCACTTTGAAAAATTATTCTCACACTGCGACTGGTGAAACTCAATTCCTGATCATTCTTCCAAAGCTTCACCTCTGACCAATTGAACTGTCCATGTGGTAACTATAACGAATTATGAATGGATGGTGAATAATGTGAATTATCGTATTCTTTTATTTTACATTAATAAAACTCTCCATGTATGTCTTGATTTTATGAAGAATATATCATAGAAGTCATTGAATTTATTCTTGGAATAAGGTTCAAATTGGCCACTGAACGTAACCTGAAAATGCAATTAAGCCACTGAATGAAAAAAAAATACAATTAGGCCACTGAACACTCTAAAAATGTGCAATTTCACCTGATAGCAGGTTACCCTCAATTTTAGCAGGTTATCTGCTTACGTGGCAGCTGAGTTGGCATTTTTAATAAATTTTAAATCATTTTTAATAAATTTTAATAATAAATTTTTATTTAAAAAATTTTTAAAAAAATAAAAACGACTTTATTCTATTTTTTATTTAATTTTTTCAATTTTTTATAAAATTTATTATTAAAATTAATTATTAAAAATTATTTAAAAATTATTAAAAATACCAACTCAGCTGCCACGTAAGCATGTAACCTGCTAAAATTGATGGTAATCTGCTATCCGGTGAAATTGCATACGTTTGGAGAGTTCAGTGGCCTAATTGCACTTTTTGTTCGTTTAGTGGCCTAATTGCATTTTCGGGTTACGTTCAGTGGCCAATTTGAACCTTATTCCTTTATTGTTTTTATACATTTTTTTGATAAAATTATTTTTATACAATTAGATTACTAAATTTAAACTTTAAGAAAAAATGTTAAATATGTCATTGATCTTTTACATTGTGCAATTGAATTATTGAACAAAAAAAGTGTGTAATTAGACAATTAAAAATTCAAAATTTGTGCAAATAGCATTTTTTACAAGTTACTTCCAAGTTTCTTTTAAATAATGTCAATATATATATATATATATATATATATATATATATATATATATATATATATATATATAATTTTAAAATAATAAAAAAATTACAAAAATTTCAAAACAATGTGGAGGTAGCCATGGTTGCCTCCACCTTCTACCTCCTTTCACACGGCCAAACCAACTAACAGCACTCAAACAAAAATAGCAAAATATAATCAATATGTCATGTCTCCATGCTTATTGGTTTGAAAAATAAGAAATATTGAGAAGTTCATACCACCATAAGAAAAATGGATGGAACATATGCCAGAAGTGGTGTTGTTTTCCCCAAGTCACAAAGGAAAATGGCGTAGTGGAACTCAATAGCTCATTGTCGTCGATGACGCACCTCTCGTTTCTCTTCCACATAGCTAAGTTCGACGACGCTTTTAACTAGAGGTGTGCAAATTTCGGAGAAATTTCGGTTAACCGACCGAACCGACGAAATTCGATTAACCGTTTTCAAATTGAAATATTTCGGTTCGGTTAATGGTTAAAAGTTTTCCAAAAATTCGATTAACGGTTAATTCGGTTCGAAAGTGTCGGTTAACCGAATTAACTGAACGGTTAACCGAATTTTGGAATATATATATAATACTAGTCTTTTCTATGCGCAACAACATATGCCCAATATTTATATTTTTAAAAATAGCTAACAAATTTTTACTAATTATAATCTAAGTGAAATAAAATTTATTTATTATATTAATCTAATATATAATAATGAATATATAATGTTTTACAAATATTGTTATAATTAAATAATATAGGAAAAGATATGGTAGATGCATGTGCATGGTAAAAGTAATGGAAAAGATAACGGAAGTTATAACGGGATAAGGGTATTTTTGTCCAAAAAATTGTATAGTACAACTCTAAAAGCACAATGTACAAAATGTTTAGCATTAAAAACATGGACATAAATGAGGGGTATAACTTTGATTGAGACTTATTATGTTTTTAGATTAGATATAATATATTAAATATTAAATATATAATTACTAAAATCATAAATAGTCAAAATGTCAAATCTTATAACTATATAATAAAGCTATATGGTTTGGGAATTAATTAATGTTACAATTATTATTTTAGTGAGTAATTATTGTTATAATTATTGTCTCTATCCTTATTAATATAAAATAGCCACAACATCCTTTACAAAAAAAAAAAAAAAAAAAAAAAAAACACAACATTTGAAAAATAAAATAGCTATTTTTGTATTGTGAAAATTATAATATAGATGAAATACAATTAAGAATAAATCAATGTAATTAGTAAATTCTCTCTATAAGTTTATTTGAATATGTACATAATTAGAAATTATATTAACCATACAAAATTTTAATTTTAAGTTTAATTGTAATTTTGTATTTTATAAAAATAATAAATATTTGACCAATGGAAGCTCAAAAATATGATTATATTAACAATTTCAAATATTTTTATTTTTTCTATTTTTTATTTATATTTATAATAACATAATTTTTTTTTCGTGCATCGCGCGAGTGAATTACTAGTAGAATAAATAACAATCTGAATTTATTATGATATCTATGTTATTTTAATTGGAATTATTATTTTATGAATTTTAAATTGTAGGGTTAAAAATTTCGGTTAATCGGTTAACCGACCGATTAACTGAAAAAAAAATTCGGTTCGGTCAATTCGGTAAAGTAAATTTCGGTTCGGTTAACGGTTAAAGCAAAAAAAAAAATTGATTAATTCGGTTCGGTTAAAACGGTTCGGTTAACCGAATGAACACCCCTACCTTTTAACTTCACGTGCTCTCTATATTCTTCGAACTAACTCACACCGTGCGTTTATAGTTCGTAGCATTACGTATGACACACAAATACGACTTGCATTTGTCGTATTTTAAAGGTAAAAAACAAATCTTTTTACAAAAATGAACAAACTATATTGGGACTTGAGTTTATACAATCAGTAGCAGAACCACAATAGGGCCAGCTACCCCACTCCGTCCCATATATATATATATATATATATATATATATATTATATGTTCCTTGTATATACATAGTTAACTTATAAATACTAAATTTATATAAATTTACTTTTAAGATAATTTACATAAATTTAATTAAAGGATAAGTTAAGTTAGATGGTAAGTAAGAGTTTAAATTAAATTAATTATAATTGAATTTTTTATTTGTAACATTTTATTTTTTAATATTAATAATGATATTAGTGATTTATAATAGGTTTTCTATTTGATTTTTTAAATCTAATTAATTATTTTTTTTATCTTGTGAAATTTTTATTTGCAACATTATGTTTTTTTTTTTAAAAAATATTAACAGTGATATAAGAGTTTTATTATAATATGTTTTTCTATTCAAATTATTTTATCTAATTAATTATATTTCATATTTATTTTGAATAATTTTTTTATCTTATTTTGATGTATTTTAATTTTTTTAATTATAATTAACAATATTTATGACTCGACCTCTAAGTATTTTTTTCTAAAATATCTCATTAATTTTTAATATTTTGCCGCTAAAGATTTTTGAATCCATCCCTTGAAATTTCTTTCAAATTTGTCTATGATTTAAAAGTTGTGAATTTTTATCCACTCCATTTAAAAGTTTGCCCATTTCAGACAATGATCCTTGAACAATTGTCCGGCTAGGCCACACCCTACCTAACCTAACCTATTCGGCTTTGGCAGGACTCTTTTAAGTAACAGCCTCGCAATTCGGCTGGGAATCCGCTTTTCACTTCCCACAGCTAGTCATATACCCCTCAACCTCAGGCTCGGTTTTACACTAACATCGGTTTGTATATCCGTTACGGTTTCTCTCCATTTCACTCTTTTCTCATCGGCTTTCAGCTGTATTTTCTCTAGACTAGATGACAAACTCTATAGTGATCGACTAATTCGTCGCTCTTTCTCTATTGTCTTCAGTTCATATTGCTGTGGATGGGAACTAGGGTTCCTGTGCAGCACTACGATTTAAGGTCGGCTGCCGCTTCGTACATCGGAAGCTCACTTCACGACCTCAATGCGGCCGAGGGCCTTGGCGGCGCAGGCGACGACGTGGATAGAGGAGGCGGCGATGTCACCGAGGATAGTCTCGACAACGATGAAGAGTCAACTGCTGTTGTGAGCATTACATTCTCTACTTATTTTTGGTGATTTTTATTCAAAATTCATTTCAATTCCAAGAATATGCATACCTGAGTTTTGCGTTGTAAAAGGATATGCTTACGTTTCTTTGATACAAGTCGGGATCATACTAATACCATGTATGTCAAAGCCATAAAAAAATCAGTCATTGCATTGTCCCCTTGTCAGTGAAATATTAAAATGGAGACTGGTCTAAGTAAACAAGAATAGTTATAAGTTTGAGAATCCGTGAGACTGGTCTAACTGGAAGAGAGGTATGAACTTAATTCAGTTGCAAGACTAATCCCAGGTTTCGTATAGTGAAAGCTACAGTGTTAGTGTGTTACATTTATTTGCTGCAAATTGGGATCAAAATATTGCTGCATCTGTGAAGCTGTGATTTTGTGAAATATGATTCATTGCATTTCCCTCTCTGTAAGAGATGGAAGCTGGGACTGGGTTAAATAAACAAAAACTACTCCATATTAGAGAGTGAGAAAAGTCAAGATGGGACTAATTGAAGTCTGACAAAGACTATTAATTTATCAATGCATGGCTTTCTTATGCACATTACTTCCATCCAAAGTCAGAATCAGCCCCACTCCCTTTCTAACTAGAAGTGAACACATAAAAGCTCTGCTCTTCTCTTAGAAATGGTGTAATTATAACCTGTTGGATATGCAATAGAAACTAATTGCCACTTTGTTGTTATTCTTTAAATTTTGAAAGGTTGACCCACATCTCTGTGAGGAATGATTCTCTTTCTATATTATGGATTTTTTTTGGGGTACATTTGAGGGGAATGGAGATTGAACTTGTTAGACATCTCATGTGGAGTCTCAAGCCTACATTGTGGTTTGTTCTCTTTCTAGATTATCCTTTAGTTATCTTTAACCATTATAATAATATGTAGTTAGTAGTAATTAGTTGTTAAAGAAGTATGTTCATTGTTGTGAAGGTGGTTCAATATATTTGTGCTACCCAATATTACCAAACTGAACCAATATGTTGGGTGTGTTAATAAGATGATTGGGTGGAGTGGTGCATTTTGAAGAGCATAATTGTTGGAGTATCGTTACGCTCCAAATTTATTTATTTATTTTGGATATTCTAATAGTGTTCATTCATTTATTCTATATTGTGCCTTATTTATAATAAATAATAATTCTATTGTTATCTTAAACTAAATACTTGTTGCACACTTTCTTTCAGGACTGCATGCACGAAACATTCAGAAACTCTCTACCACTTCACGATGTAGCAGTGGAGGAAAATCAAACTAGCCTAGCAAGTAGTGGATCTTTGAGGGATCCCTACAACATTGTAACCAATGAGGGTGAGATAAGTTTTCAATTTTTTGATTTGCCTTTAAAATATTAATCATAATTGTATGGATTTTTAGAATGAATGATCCCTTTTTTGGACCAGATGTTTCACCAATCGAGTCAGCAAGAGCAAGATTTCTAGACATCGTTGTAGATCATTTTATTAGCTCACATGTAGTTGAAGTGTTAGATATGGAGTCTGACTATGTGGCACAATCTTCTCAAGATAAACTGAATAAGAGGAAGCCGAGAGAAATTCGTCATGAAGGTGACCCTCGACATGTTTTGCCTTTGATGTATGTGGCAAACATGTATGAAACATTGGTTGGTGAAGTGAACTTAAGGCTATCTTCCTTGAATGGAATGCGTGAAAAAACCATCGGTGTGGCCCTTGAAGCAGCTGGTGGCTTGTATAGAAAGCTTGCAAAAAAATTTCCCAGGAAAGGTACAACAATATTTGCTACTTTTCTTTTGTTTAGGATGAAGGATGTTGTGAGGGCGGGAAGGGGTAGGTCAGGGACATAGTTTGACTGTTAGATTTGTGTACTAATACAACATTAGGCTTGTCAGAATGTTTTTCAGCTTCAGCTACTTATCCTATGGAATTCCATGACTTACCCCCTCCTCCCTCTCCCAGTCTCCCCTTGAAAATAGAAAATATGCTATTAACCCTTTTATCCCCTAATATCTCTCTTTCCTGGTCAAGAGCAGAAAGGAAAAAAAGGTAAAAAAAAAAAAAAGAAGAAGAAAAAGAGTGGTGACAGCATTTTGCTTTATGTGTCAAGAATAAAGTGAGTGCTGAATGATATTAGCCATTTAGCCATAAGACTCTTGCATCATGCAGGATTTGAGGATTTTTTTGTTTACTACAGGATCTTGCATGTATAAACGTCGGGAATTGGCAACTTCTTTTGAAACACGGTCAAGATTTCCCGAATTAGTAATACAGGAGAAGAAGCGTGTTCGTTTTGTTGTTGTTAATGGTCTAGCTATTGTTGAGAGACCAACAAGTATGCGCATTGATGATATTGAGTGGTATATGAGAATAATGACCATTTTTTTTATTGCTTTGCAACTTCATTAATGTCTCTAATGCCCACCAGTCTCTTTGGCTGATTTTTTATTGATAGCATTTTCTGAATATGCTTGGCATGAAAATATCAACATCTTTCACCATGCCTTATTTTTTATGCTGTTGCCTTGAATCTTTCTATCCCCACATATATTATTTATTTTTTTGTAAGTTTGTTCCCCCTGTATAATTTAGTGTACTGAGTATTGCAAAAAACTTTCAATATCTTTTTCCCTTAATCTTTTTTTTTAACAAAAGTATATTGGGGAATTATTGTTCACCCATCTCTGTCAAGTCAAAAAAATTTTGAGTTAATATGGCACTGCAATAAAATTTATATCAAATAGATCCATCACATGTTGCTATGTGCTACCATACATGTGTTAAGTGTATTTTGTATTGTGAATCTAGCAGGGAAAAATGCAATTAGAAATCTGGGTCACTGCACTGCAAGCTTGATTGATATGCATACCCCTGAACTTTGTGCAATCTGAAATCACTGAAAAGCATATGCTTTTAGCTGTCTACATGGCGGAAATACTAGATTCACTGCCCTAACTAAATTTGCAAGCAACATCAATTGAGTTATGATTCTTGTTACATGATCAACCATCCATTTTTGTTTTCTTAATTAGATATCTTCTTAGAGACATTTTTCCTGGTGTAATGTGCATATACTGTGCTTCTCTTTTTATGTTCTCTACTTAGATCCATGATGCTGTCAAAAATGAACTGAGTGTTCTATTTAAATATTGCTATGGTACAAGCATATCCTGTACCTTGACATTCACTTAATGAATTATGCAAAATATACAAAGGAAATGAAGACATTTTTTTCATCTTTTTATATATATATATATATATATTTTAAATATAACCACTATATTGACACTCATTATTATTTAAGCAAAATATTTCAGTTTTATTTGTTGTCAGATATGCTCTTTAAGTTCATTTATCCATGCATCCAGGTTTAAAAGATTGACAGGTCGTAGTGAAGTAGCTGTCTCTCCAAAAGATTACAAGTTCTATGCACCTAGGCACAAGTATAGACGTGTAGCATCAAACTCTATTCCCAACATCCCTGCATTGCCGGTATAATCTAATTCCTCTTTAAATATTTCCATATCTTTTTCCTTAATAGGGATGGAAAGTAAGTGGACAAATAAGTTGTTTACATATTTTCTAGACATTCACGGGAACAGATAATGCCTCTCAGATGGCTGAAGCCCAAGATTATCGTTCTGTCACTGAAGTAAGACATTTATTTTTTAGTCTCTTTATATTGTGTTGGGGGAGAGGGGTGGGGCTTAAGATGGGAAAGAAATTAATTTTGGAAGTAAAAGTCTATCCTAGTTGTTCATCTCAATTAATCTGCATTGTTCTTGTTCAATAGTTTGTGTATCCATTCCCCCTCTTTGCACATTAGTCCTGTGACTGGATTACTATAGAATTATGAAATTTCTTGGTTTTGGGGGTCCTCTTGATGTTGAGCATATAACCATTAATGTGCAATCCAATTATTAGCTTAGGCTTTTAGCTGAGATGGAGCACATGCTTCAATTTGGTATCAGAGCCCGACTGAAGGTCGCGATTATGATCCACGTGTTGCTTGGAACCCACCGCACACGTGAGGGGGCGTGTTGAGTAATGTGCAATCCAATTATTAGCTTAGGCTTTTAGTTGAGATGGAGCACATGCTTCAATTCTCTTGCCCCCAATAGTGTAAGACCTTTTTTTTTTTTTTTTTTTTCTCCAATGTGCTGTATTTTAGCAAAAAGAAGTTTAATGGAAATATATTTCAAATTTTGAAAAAAATTAGTTCTTATATGTAAAATTAAAAGTAAAAATCTTTCTACTTGTTCTTGTAAGTCAAAAAATATTTGTGTTGAAATTTGATGCAACTTGAGCTCAAAAGTCTATTGGAGCTTGTTCAAGAGTTAGCATTTGAATGATGGGATTAGGAAACCTTGTGGACCCGTGTGTAGAGAGATGTTTCAATTTATACTTTCTTTAGAGCTTTTAAAAGTGCAAACCCGTGCAGGGAGCCAAGGATATTTGAGAGCTTTTGTTTATTTTATATATTTCTAAAATTTATTAATTAATTCATTTAATAATTTTTCAGCCACAAAATAGCCATCAGACTCCATCAAAACACCACATGCAGCCAACTTCGCACCAGGATCAATTTCATCCTATTCAGCAGAGCCACCAACACCATATCAACCAAAATCAACACATGGCCAACTTCTCTCACAACCAACATTGTGGACCCCACTCACACTTGCCTGAAATTGCACACACTCAGCACTCTGGATCTATATCATCTCACATGGCTTGCTTACAACCAATAGGTCATGTTGGCAGGCGTATGCATTTACTGGTAAGTCTCCTTTTTTAAGAAGCCGTTTATCTTTTGCATTTTCTTGATTACCTTACAACACTTGTTAAAACTAAATCGATTGTGAAGGGATCTCGACAGGCGGCATCATGAGATGTAAGCTTTATATGTGTTATAGTACTGTGAGAGAGAAAAAGAATACCTTGGAGAGTTCTCCCTCTTTCTGTATGTCTTTAGGGTTAGTCAACCTCCCCTTAAATACTAGCTTGATCTAGACTGATATGGTATGCTAATATTCTAGTTTCTTAAAATATAGGATACTCAATCACACAGAATATTCTATAACACTCCCCCTCAAGTTGGAGCAAAGACATTGATCATGCCCAACTTGTTACACAAATAACTGACTCGAGTTCTAGTAAGGGCCTTCGTGAATAAGTCCCCAAGTTGTTCTCCTGTCTTCACAAATCCTGTGGAGATTAACCCTTGTTGTATCTTCTCACGTACAAAATGACAGTCAATCTCTATGTGCTTAGTCCGTTCATGGAACACCGGGTTTGATGCAATATGAAGAGCAGCTTGGTTATCACACCATAACTTTGCAGGAATTGGAGCTTTGAAACCAGACTCATACAAAAGGTTGTGTATCCACATTACTTCACTCGTTGATTGTGCCATCGCTCTATATTCAGACTCTGCACTCGAACGAGAGACTACATTCTGCTTCTTACTCTTCCAGGAAACTAGATTACCTCCAAAGAAAACACAATATCCAGTTGTTGATCTACGATCCTCTTTGGAACCTGCCCAATCCGTATCAGTAAAACACTCAATCCGAGTGTGACCATGATTCTTATACAAAATTCCGTGTCCCGGAGCTCCCTTTAAGTAACTCAAGATGTGCTCTACAGCTGCCCAGTGATCAATAGTTGGAGATGACATGTACTGACTCAAAACGCTAACTGGGTATGCAATATCTGGACGGGTTACGGTCAAGTAGTTTAGCTTCCCAACCAATCTCCTATACCTCTCAGGATTTTCAAACAATTCCCCTTCCTTTGAAAATTGCAAGTTCGGTATCATGGGAGTATTGCATGGTTTAGTACCTAGTTTTCCTGTTTCAGAGAGTAAGTCAATAACATATTTTCGTTGGGAGAGTAATATACCTGTTTTGTTCCTCATAACTTCAATACCCAGGAAATACTTTAGTGGTCCCAAATCTTTCGTTTGGAATTGACTGTGAAGAAATGACTTGAGAGACAAAATCCCTTCGGTGTCGCTCCCTGTAATGACAATGTCATCTACGTAAACCACCAACCAGATGATACCTGTTTTGGACCACTTGTAGAACATGGAATGATCCGATTTGCCTTTCACCATCCCAAACATCTCAACAACTTGACTAAATTTTCCAAACCATGCACGTGGACTTTGTTTCAGCCCGTACAACGATCGCCGAAGACGACATACTTTCCCAGACTCCCCCTGAGCAACAAACCCAGGAGGTTGCTCCATGTACACCTCTTCATGAAGATCCCCATGCAAAAAGGCGTTCTTGATATCAAGCTGATGCGAAGGCCAATCATGAATGGCAGCCATAGAGATGAGTAACCTGACAGAAGTAAGCTTAGCCACAGGAGAAAAAGTGTCATAATAATCAACTCCATAAGTTTGTGCATATCCCTTAGCCACAAGACGAGCCTTCAATCGAGCCATAGACCCATCAGAATTAACTTTGACAGTAAACACCCATTTACAACCAATAGATCTTTTACCCGCAGGCATAGTGACCACTCCCAAGTACCATTGTGATCCAAAGCGTTCATCTCCTCAATCATGGCATTTCGCCACCCAGGATGGGACAAGGCATCCCTAATAGTCTTAGGAATGGAAATAGACTCAAGGGAAGCAATAAAAGAACACGAGGCATGTGACAGCCTATCATATGATGCAACGGAGGATATAGGATAAGTACAAGTACGTTTACCTTTCCGGGTGGCAATCGGACGGTCATCAATTAAGACTGGATCTGATGACATAGAGATGGTGTCAGGGCACGGAGTCTGTGCCAAGTCTGGAATGGGAGGCGGTGCCGATACGAGTCGAGGTCTACGAGAATACACTTGCAAGTCAGGAGGGGTAGGAACAAGGGAAGGAACAGACGACGTTACCGTATACATCAATATATCATCCTCCTCCCCCTTACGAACAGCATCTGGGGATGAAGGAAAGAAAGGGACGTCCTCATGAAAGACAACATCAATGGAAACAAGGTACCTACCAAGCTCAGGAGAGTAACACCGATACCCCTTTTGCACACGGGAATATCCAAGAAACACACACTTCAAAGACTTGGGATCTAACTTGGTGACATGGGGACGGACATCTCGAACAAAGCACACGCAGCCAAATATACGCGGGTCAACATGGAACATAGGCTTTGAAGGATACAGAGTATGGAAAGGTGTTTTCCCACCCAAGACCGCAGAAGGCATCCGATTAATCAAGAAACAGGCTGTGGAAACGGCATCACTCCAAAACTGCTTAGGAACCCCCATTTGAAACATCAAGGCCCTTGCAGTTTCAAGCAGATGCCGATTTTTGCGTTCAGCAACCCCATTTTGGGAAGGTGTATCAACACAAGAGGACTGATGTAACATACCCTTCTTACGCATATAAGAGACAAAGGGAAAAGAAAAATATTCCTTTGCATTGTCACTACGTAAAACTTTGACAGGAACACCAAATTGAGTCTCAATTTCAACACAGAATCCACAAAACACCTCAAAAAGTTCAGAACGAGACTTCATTAGATATAACCATGTTATTCGGGAAAAATCATCAACAAACGTAACAAAATACTTAAAACCAAGTTTAGAGGTCACAGAACACGGACCCCAAATATCAGAATGCACTAACTCAAAAGGAGCAGACGCTCGTTTGCAAACTCTAGGACTCAAAGGCACGCGATGGTGCTTGGACAACTGACACGACTCACAATGTAAAGAAGACAAACTAGAAAACTGCGAACACAATTTCTTCAACAAGGGAAGGGAAGGATGCCCCAAACGACAATGAGCTTCTACAGGAGTGACAGCACCTGAACAAGCAATAAGCTCTCGCCTCGTGGTGTCAAGAACGTAGAGGCCCCCAGACTCGCGCCCCTTACCAATAACCCTCTTCGTCAAAAGATCCTGAAACAGACAATAATCAGGGAAAAATGTAACAGAACAGTTTAAAGTACGGGTAAGCTGGCTGACTGAAATTAAGTTGAATGAAAAGTTAGGTAGATGCAAAACAGAAGACAAGGGGAGCAAGGGGATGGCGTAATGGTACCGGACCCAAGAACATGGGAGGTAGAACCATCTGCTAAGGTGACGGGGGAACTATGTGGGCGAGAAGAAAGTGTGGAAAACAAACTAGAGTTACCTGTCATATGATCCGTGGCACCCGAGTCTATAACCCACTTGGAGGAGGATGAGAGAAGACACGTAGTTGCATTACCTGAGTCAGCAATAGCAGTGACCGAAGAGGAGGATGAACGCTTTAAAGATTCTCGATACTGAGAGAACTCAGCAAACTCATCAGCAGAGACAGTGACCGTCTTGGAAGACGCCTCAGCGGTGGATGCAACATTAGCAGTCGGATTTCCTCGTTCCCTCAACCATCTCCGACAATCCCTTTTTATGTGGCCAGGCTTATGGCAATAATGACACACAATCCCACCAGAAGTGTATCCCTGAGAATTTTTACCATTCCCACTGCGAGGATGACGGCCAACAAGAGCATTGTTTGACGGGATAGTAGCCTCAAGCACATTTGGTTGCGATTGCACCGATCGACTTAGACGTGGGAAAACATCAGCAAGAGAAGGGATTGTAGAGCTACTAAGAATTGCAGACCTCGCCGTGTCATACTCAGAAGGGAGACCTGCCAAAAAACTCAGAACACCCAACTGTTCACGTTGGGTTTGCTGCTCTTTAATGTCAGCAGTGAATGGCATAAGTTGATTAAGTGCCTCAAAAGTCTTCTTAAATTCCATAAAGTATGCAGGGAGAGACAGATCACGTTTTTCAGTACGGAAAAAAGATTTGCAAACATCATAAACTCGAGTGACATTCCCCTTTCCAGCATACAAGTATTCCAAATACTCCATTAACTCCTTAACAGAGGCACAATGACTAATGAACCCAACAACCCCCTCATCAATAGAATTACGGATTTGTAGGAACAAACGGGCATCATCTCGAACCCAAGAAGCATCTTGGTCAGCCAAAGGTTTGGACAAGTGGTCACTCTTATCCAAACTAGTAAGATAAAGTTTAACGACATGAATCCATTCCAAGTAATTAGAGTCATTAAGCTTACAATCCGTGATTCTAGAACTAACAGGAACTATATCAGTGACAACCACAGATTTATTCTCAGCCATACCCACGAATTTATGACTGCAAACGGAGCAGAAAACACACAGAAAAAGGAGCCTGAAGGGTAACGAAACAACCTGACCTCAGAACCAAAATACCGACGCGAAACTGGTCCAAACTGAGCCCGGAACCGAGATCCCCGAACTCAGGCGACCCTTGGAAGACCGACCGGAAGAAATTTCGGTCGCCGGAGACCCTTCACGCGCCGGCGCGTGGTGGCGGCGGCGGCGGCTGGCGGTGGCGCGTGAGCCTCACGCGCAGGTCGGCTTGGCCTGAAAACTTCCAGTCGAGGTCGCCGGACGATGGCGAGCGGCGGTGGACCGGCGGTAATGACAGGAGACGCCGGAAAAAAAAATTCTATAGCCCTAGCTCTGTTACCATGTTATAGTACTGTGAGAGAGAAAAAGAATACCTTGGAGAGTTCTCCCTCTTTCTGTATGTCTTTAGGGTTAGTCAACCTCCCCTTAAATACTAGCTTGATCTAGACTGATATGGTATGCTAATATTCTAGTTTCCTAAAATATAGGATACTCAATCACACAGAATATTCTATAACAATATGTAAGAGAACTATTGAACTAGAGAAAGATATACATTGACAACAATGATAATGCT